TCATCTACTATTTAAAAAGCTAGTTTGTGCTTAGTCTTCCCACAATTTTTCCAGCTACGAAAGGCCGACTTCTCTTTAGTATCTCTTAAAAGGTATGAGGATGTTGATCTTCAAATGCTAGTTTCGTCTGGGCAATTTCTATTTTCTGCGTTGCAGTTTCAAAACATGTATACCCTAACATCAAAAACCAAAGCAAATTTCTCGTAGTCCACCCTTTCCTCTTGAAATGGTTCTTACTTTCGTATATGGATAGGATTAGTAACATTAACTCAGTTTATTTCTTAGGTTCATGACGGATTTTTTGAAAGCTTACAGATGGCTTATTTAAATATAAGTAAATATTGAACGAGAAAGCGCCGCTAGTGTTAAGTGTTGATTTAGCTCAAAGCAAAACAGTTTTGATATGAGGAATTCAGTTAATTTTGCTGAACTAGCGTAAAACTTAAGGGGCAAAGTATTAATGTGACTATCTTTCCCTTAATCACCCTAGCATGATCGGTACCAGACAGGGTCCTTTTTCCTCTTAAAATACTTTCGTATAGCTGTGCGTTTATAACTGCTCTCCAAAAAAGCTCTACTCTACGATCACCTGGTGTGAAAGTGTATACAAAATTGAGATGGGCATAGCTGCCTGCCCCTTGAACTTGGTTTCTTAATGTAAAGTGGGATTGACAAATCTTGGTTCTAAAACGCCAACTCAAGCAAGTTTCAAGATTTAAAAAATGTCTGGCATGGGAACCAAACATAGTTATCGGCGGCGTTCGACCCCGGTAATTGTGAAGTTCTGTTGCAGTATTTGTCATTAAAAGGCGTATCAAAGAAGTACGTGAATGTACAGGCTCCCCACTCGAATACGACTGATCGAGTCAGAGCTTATAGCGAACTGTCGCCGGAATAGGGTAATTCAAGTGGTTTCTTCAGGGTTGTTCGCTTTCCCATTTGTATTTAACTGTCATAAATATGCTTTTAGCGATAACACTGCACCTAAATGTGGATTAACAGGCATCTGTCCCTGTACTTACTCTTGCGATTGGGCCGTTAGAAGTAGTCGAAAAGTTCTTTTATCTAGTTAAACGTGCATGTGTTGGTTGTTAATGTCGACCAGTGAGTGCGAACCAACCAATAATATTTATGTTAAACATCCACCTTCTTAGACTCAATCTTCGACTGGTTATGTTTATTTAACTACCAGTCACGAAATTACATCAACTCTTTGCATAAACTTGGTTAGCCTTCTTTTTGATTCACTTTATTATGCTTCTGCTACTATTCGGTGTGTGTTTATTGTCCTTTTTGTAATTGACCCTACTATTCTGTTTTTGCGCTAATTGTAATAATTTACGTTTTAGAAACAGCTTATAATTGTTGTTTATAAATAGTTACTTGTATTTAACATTAGCGTTGCTGGGGCTGTGCGCGACGGTATAGGAACTTATAAAATTCATTCGTGGGTATATTGAATCCTGAACTGGTTATCAATTTGCGTTTAGTGAAAACCAAAGCGCTATGTGCCCATCTGCGCCTTCTATGGTGCTGTCGTAATACTTGTCTGACTGTAAAAGGTAGGGTGAAAGCAGCCATGCTGTATGTTGGTAAATCATGTCCCCTCCGAGTTTACGATATTAGGTGTGTTAAGTCATCATTGTCTCTAAAGGATCGTTAAAATTCAGTGGCAACGCCATATTAGTAGTGCGGAAATTCGGCAATGTTTTTTTTGGAACAATGGTCATAATACGGTTGACGTCACTATTTTGGAACGCTGACTCCAGTGACTTCCACATCGTGCCTTATTTCCCTAGGATGGGGCTTGTAGAAAGAGGTGGTCAGTTTAAGACATGGTACCGGGGTCCAAAAGAAAGCTGTACAAGACTGATATCCGTCGGTTCATCACAACTACCTGGTTGGAGTCCAAGCAACTTGGTAGGTTGGGACATTATCAAACATGGATCAGATCAAAGCACTATGGCTATACTGCTATAATTTTCCACTACATTTTTCATAAAAGTAAAAGTAATCCCTTTAACCGCAATAGGCCCTCAGTTGTGTTTTCAACTGAACTGTCTCTCCTATTATATACTATTCTTGTTCATCCATTCTCTTTTTTTTAAAAACTTTTCACTCATCTTCCTTTTATTTCACAAATATATGTCCTTGTGTGGCAAATACTTTTTCTAGAGCCCAGTTGTATCAAACTGTGTATGTAGTAAATAAAATTAACCGTCAAAATCTATCGAATCAAAAATAGTGAATTATGACTAGAACTTTTTAGTGAGTATATATTCACAAAACCATTTGTTTAGTTTCGATGTTCAATTCTGGAACTAATAAGTCAAGTGTAAGTGAGATTATTTCGGAAAAAGATGATACTCTCATCTGCTCCCAGTCCAGACGTTTAGAACGATGGGCGGAACATTTTAGAGAACAGTTCAGCTGGCCTTCAGCTACTCTACAACTACCCTCCATTCCCAGACAAAGTGAATGGAACATTGAAGTAGGTCCCCCAACTCTTGCTGAAGTTGAGAAGGCTATAGTTAATCTGAAACGAGGAAGGGCAGCTGGTCCAGATGGACTGGCTCCAGAAGTCTTTAAGGATGGTGGTCCAATTTTAGCGACTAGGTTGACTAATATTTTGGCTAAAATCTGGGAGTTAGACGTTATCCCATCTGACTGGTCGCAATCACTTATCGTCCCAATATATAAGAAAGGGTCAAAATCATCCTGTGACAACCACAGAGGGATTAGTTTAACAAACATAGTATCTAAAATACTGGCCTCGATAATTATCAAACGCCTAACTAAGACTCGTGAACTACAAACACGAGAGAACCAAGCTGGCTTTAGACCTGGTCGTGGCTGCATCGACCACATATTCACCATTCGTCAGGTTCTAGAACACAGGCATACCTATCGGCGTCCGACGATGGTGGTCTTTCTTGACTTAAAAGCAGCATTTGACTCTGTAGACCGCGAGACTCTGTGGCAGTGTCTGTCATTGAAAGGCGTACCTCAGAAGTACATAAACCTTGTGAAGGCTCTTTACTCGAACACTACTAGTCGAGTCAGGGCTTATGGCGAACTGTCATCTACCTTTACAACCTCAAGTGGTGTCCGTCAAGGCTGCCCACTTTCTCCATTTTTGTTTAACTTCATCATAGACCTATTGATGGAAATAACACTCTCGTCGACTGAATTCTCGGGTATTGATCTCCTTCCAGGAGGTCCACTTATCGACTTAGAATATGCAGATGACATAGTCCTGTTTGGTGAAGACGCTGACAAAATGCAGAGTCTTCTGGTAGCACTAAGCAACAATGCCAGAATGTTTGGGATGCGCTTCTCTCCCTCTAAATGCAAGTTGTTGCTTCAGGACTGGTCTGCGTCAACACCTGAACTAAGGATAGGGAGTGAAGTAGTCGAACGTGTTGACAACTTCACTTATCTTGGAAGTCTGATCAGCCCTAATGGGTTGGTGTCTGACGAAATCTCAGCACGGATTCGTAAAGCTCGTTTGGCTTTTGCCAACTTACGTCACCTTTGGCGGAGGCGAGATATCCGTCTATCAATAAAAGGACGAGTATACTGCGCGGCTGTCCGTTCTGTTTTAATTTACGGCAGCGAAACATGGCCCTTAAGAGTAGAAGACACCCGTAAGCTACTAGTATTTGACCACAGATGCCTTAGAAATATTGCTGGCATCTGCTGGGATCACCGGGTAAGTAATAGTGAGGTTAGACGCAGGGTATTAGGGAATGATGGTAAATCAGTTGATGAGGTTATGAATCTTCATCGACTGAGATGGTTGGGCCACGTATTACGTATGCCTGAACACCGATTACCGCGACGTGCAATGCTAACCGGTGTAGGGGATGGTTGGAAGAAAGTTAGGGGCGGCCAAACCAAAACGTGGCATCAGTGCCTGAAGTCACTAACTTCTAGTCTGAGCCATGTTGGTAGATGCAGACTACTTGGTTGGGGTCCGCGTGACTTTCGTAACCAATGGTTGGAGACCCTTGGTGACATGGCTCAGAATCGATCACAATGGCGTCGGTGTATACACTCTCTGTCTTCTCTTAAACTAAGAGATTAAGATCACTTCACATCTTTCTTTCTACGAACTAATTCTTTCTTCCTATACTATATCCTTATTGCAATCTTTCTCCTATATATTACCACCTTTGACCTAACCACTCCTATGAATCCAGTGTTCATCTTGCTGTGCTAATGAGGTATGGCAACCTGGGCCGATGCATACATGTGCCTGGTCCTACGTTGTAGCTGACTGACTGATGTTCAATTCCTGACTATATTACAAGACGAATTGATCTATTATTTTACTTATTTATTTATTTCAACACATAAATATTGGTACAAGAGGGCACCAAATATATATGCACCACACTATCTTTGTGTGTGTGTGGGTTGTGATGCTGCCCGGGTGCCCAGACCGAAGCAGGTGGTTTTCTTAGGGGGCCACACCCCAAGATTTTGACCTAAAGGTCTAACCCACAGGGCGGTGGAGCATCGTAAGGAGATGCAGTTCCATTGTAGCCGGTGACCTAAAATTGGTTCATACACCATTTGTTCCCTCAGGATACTGGGGCCCATGTGCACCATTGGTTTGGAATCCTGTTAAAGCGCCGGACATCCGCTTTTCGTCCTCTCAATTTCGTGAACAACACCCCGCCATGTGAAGGCATTTCGAGAAGGAGGGCGGGCCCACCCCACTCTCGGCCATATCAGGGCATTATTTTTCCTATTGTTGATGTGTTAGCCCTAATTCACAATTAATGGACATTTTGGGTGACTTTTTAAACAGTTTTATGAATAACATTAGCTTGTCTTTATTTAGAAGTTGATTTTAAGTATTCATTACAAAACCAATTCTTATTATTGTAGATACTTTTGAACTATGAGTGCACAACTATTAGAAACTTCTTCAAGATCACGAAAACCTAGAAATTCTGCTTTTTTTCAACAAAAACTCCCGGCATGGCAAACCAATGTTTACTGCTAAAAAATCTGGAATAGCTTTCACAGTTTTTGGAATTGTACTGATACCTATTGGTATTATATTACTAACGGCGTCAAATAATGTTGTAGAATATCTTGTGGACTATACAGATTGTACTCAGAATGGTACTGAAGAGTTATGCTCTCAAGTAATTGCCTTGGGGAAACCGTGTGTTTGTGTTAAACATATTTCTGTTGAATCGTCTATTCCTGGACCTGTTTATTTATATTATGGTTTAAACAACTTTTATCAAAATCATCGACGATATGCACGATCTAAAAATGATGAACAGTTGCTTGGTATTTATCAAGACCCAAGCTCATTATCTTCGTGTAACCCATATGTATCAATTGAGGGTAAACCAATACTTCCATGTGGTGCAATCGCAAACAGTATATTTAATGACACATTTATTCTGACATATATACGGAATAATAATACCAAAGTTACTGTCACAACCACATCAAACGGTATAGCATGGCCTTCCGATGTCAACCGCAAATTCGGGACCTTGAATGCAAACGGTTAGTTAAAAAATATCTATTTTTTCATATTCATGATCTTGAATTGGTCTACATTATTAAACCTTAACTTATTACATTGATATGGTCTGTAAACTTATGTAGCTTTTCAGACTTAGGCCAGCTAGTTCCAAACTAGCTCTGTAGGAACTCACATAAATGGAGCTTAGATGAAATATGGAGGGTGGAAGTTAGTTGTGGATGAATCTTTTTCACATCTATCCATCTACTGATATTAGTTTTCTGTTATATGATGATCAGTTTGTGCAAAGTTTACTATCAAAACATCACTTCACTGAAATAAGCAGTAACCTAATTTAACAACCTCTTTTTAAAATTTAATGGTATTATGTAAAATATTTACGTAAAAGACAAATCAAATCAAACTTCTGCTGCAATACTATAATTACGTCCCGAGATTTGGTTAGGGTTCCGTAGGTATATAGTCATCGTCACATAATAAACTAAAATATATCGACTACCAGGACACTTGTAACACCATACGTCTTGTCCTCCCTTGAATCATTGTGCTTTAGGCATCAAACGACTGACTTGTCTATGAAGGCATTAAAATTCATGAAACAGCTTTGAAATAAGTCTACTAATAAACAATTTCCAGAATTTATATAACCTGTATCATCATACTTCTCAAGCCAACTTACTTGAATATCCTTGATATAATATCCCAGCTAAGATGTTAGGTTTAAATGAAAATGTTAGTGGTATAGACAGACCGACATCGTCATCATAGAGCCTGGCATAAATGTTCGTTTCCCAATTTATCATACTATATCATCACGACGGGATAAAAGTAACACACGAGATCATAATAATGTAGTAGTAAGGATAAAGAGATTCAGTCGGGGTTATGTGGTTTGTAAAACCAGCATAGAAAGGTATATATGAATGTATAATGAGGTCGTGTAACATTTGAGACGATGCTGTTCGTATGCATTCTCTTCAGTCATCTGGAATCAGCAACGACACATGAGGAAATTTATACCGTGAAACGTCCAGTAAAATCAACATTAACAGGGATCCATAGTTCCCTTAAAAGTGATCAGGTTCAGTAATATTGTTCATTCGTTTAAGTTTTCTCGATAAATGGAATTGAATTCTTCGTCACTTTCAAATGAAAAATTGGCTCGCACTCATATTGACCATGTTATGATATTTATTTTCTTACATTGAGAATTGTTGAATGACCTCAATCAGTTTGATGATCTTTTGTTGAAATATCTGATATTTAATAATTTTGATTATTTATAGCTCTCAATAATACAGTCAAGCCACCTAATTGGCCTCAACCAATTCAAGCGAGATCTTCAGTCCATTTAAGACTGATGAAGCTCTATTAGTATGGATGAGAATAGCTGCCTTGCCAAACTTTCGTAAATTAAGCGCTTTTGTAGTTCATAAAGATGATTTCTCAAATGGTCTACCCTCAGGAACGTATGAAATTGTTATTAACTACTGTGAGTATTTTGTTATCTTGTTTACTGAAATTCGCTCTCCATTGTATCTAATTCTCTTTAGACGAACTTCACGAATTGTATTTATTTATTTATTTTAACACATAGATATTGGTAAAAAGGGGCACCGAATACATATCCGCCACACAAATCTCATTTGATATGTGTGAGGGCTGTGATACTGCCCGGGTGCCCAAACCGAAGCAGTTAGTTTTCTTAGGGAGCCACACCCGGAGCCTTTGACCTGAAGATCTAATCCACAAGGCAGTAGAGCATCGTAAGGAGATGCAGTCACATGGTAGCCGGTGACCAACGATTGATTCATACGCCATTTGTTCCATCAGGATACTGGAGCCCATATACACCATTGGTTTGGAATGATTGTTTTCCAACTCCCCTAAGTGGACTCTCCATGTCCACTTCACAAATTGACATGTTTATAGCTGGTAAAGACTAGATGTTTAACAATGGTTTCATCTTTTTTCGTAGGAGATATCAACTACTCTCCAGATATCAATAAAACGCATTTGCCTTCTACTTTTAAGACGATCAAAGTAATAAGTACACATTATTAATTTAAATGTAGTTTGATTTACTGAGCAGTTTCAAATTATATCATAACGATTGTTCGGTGGTTTTGTTTTGATTTTAACAAAGTATTCTTTTCCGTATTAGTTATGAATTAAACATCAGTCTAGAGAGATAGTAGATGAGAAAGTCCTGGGACCATCGAGTAAGTAACACAGTTGTTAGGAAACGGGTACTAGGTAAGGATGGCAAATCAGTTGATGAAGTAGTGAAACTTCATCAGTTGAGATAGCTGGGACACGTGTTACGTATGCTCAACGACCGACTGCCTCGACGTGCTATGTTCAGTGGTATAGGAGTAGGTTGGAAGAAAGCTAGAGGCGGCCAAGCCAAAACATGGCAAAAGTCCATGAAGTCACTGACAAGTGGACTAAGTCATGTTAGGAGGTGTAGACTATGTGGTTGGGATCCGGGAGATGATAGCAACCGATGGTTGGAGACCTTAAGTGACACATGGCTCAAAATCGTTTGCAATGGCGCAGGTGCATACACTCTTTGTGTTCTTCCAAATTCTAATCTTCTGAATTCTTCATGTTCCCTTTTTTCCTCTTTCGAAATTTATTTCACTGGATTATACTGTTTAAATAACATCTCCAAACCCTAATCTTCCCGATTACTGCTTACACTCTTGCTACCTCTACCACTACAGGATTTGAATCGACAACTGCATCTGTGTGCTAATGTGGTATGGCAACTCGAACTGATGTACGTACGTACGAAGTTCTACGTTGTTACTGACTGACTGAGTCGAGAATGTATATTGTTGTTTTACCCAGCTAACTTGCTTCTGTAGTTTTCATCACCCTAGACGAGGCGTGTTTCGAACCTAGAACTTTTTGCCTGAAGGTCGATCCCCTAAACCACTACTTCACAGTTTCATTGAATAATTAACAATATTCAGTTCCCAATTTCATTGATCTGTATTGATTGGAATAAGTTTCAATCATGAGATTATAATAAAGATTTGTAACTCAACGGGACGATTTTACTGAAATCACCTTCTCTGATCTAAATGATTCTTTGCCTTTCCAGGAAGCATCGTTAAAAGCACAAACCTTAGACAGAAGCGAGGTATAGAAATTTCGTCATGAATGACTAGCATCTTCTTGGTTGGTTCGTTGTTGTTGATTCTTTTCATTGTCTGCATATTTATCTTGATCGTCTCACGCTTTGACCTGATCCTTGATCTTACAGATTTTTATAATTTCTATAACTGTGCAGACTATGACAACAACCTGTTAGTCTCAACATTGATATATATATATATATATATATATATATATATATATATATATATATATATATATATATACTTTCTATCCTTTCAAAACATGTCCTCAATCACTTGTCAGTATCACTAAATGTGTGTTGATGTTATAGCTGAGATTGTACAGCTTCAATACAATAAAGATACGAATTACTTTCAATGTTTAACATATGTTTCTTAAGATTAATGCATGATACATATAGCCTTTCAAGTGTATGGGGTTTTCAGTCAGTCAGTTACAACGTAGGACAACCAAGTAGTCTGCATCCACCAACATGGGTTTTTATCTATATTTTAAGAAAGACAAACATCATAACCCAGTATTAAATTCCTGATCAGATTGTTGAGTGAAGAATGATTCAGTGTTAACAAGTTAATGAGAAGAGTAGCTTATCTATTGACAATAGTAAGCAGTCATAACCACCTTTATTAATCCTAGACAAACAAATTGTGTCAAACCTTATAGTTTTTGTGTTATCACTCAAAAAAACACTGGCTGAGACACGTGTTACGTATCCCCAACCACTGACTGCCCCGATGTGCGACGTTTCATGATTTAGGAGTAGGTTGGAAGAAAGTTAGGGGCGGCCAGAACAAAACATGGCACAAGTCCAGGAAGTCACTGACAAGTGGACTAAGCCATGTTGGTAGGTGTAGACTATCTGGTTGAGATCCGCGAGACTATACCAACCAATGGTTAGAGACCTTGAGTGACACATGGCTCAAAATCGTTTGCAATGGCGCAGGTGCATCTGTTCTTTGTGTTCTCCCAAATTCTAATCTGACTTCTTCATGTTCCCTTTTTTTTATTTCATTGGATTATACTCCTTGAATAACATCTTCAAACCCTAATGTTTCCGACTACTGCTTATACTCTTACTATCTCTATCACTATGGGATTTGAATCGACAACTGCATCTGTGTGCTAATGTGGTATGGCAACTCGAACTGATGTACGTACGTACGAAGTTCTACGTTGTTACTGACTGACTGGCTTGTGTTATCACTTTAATTACTTAACAATGTCATTCACATTGATATCCTCACTTTATTTTATTTTTTCATTTTCAGTTTATCCAGTTACTTCATTTGGTGGTAGAAAAACATTTATATTAGCCAATGCTAGTTGGTTAGGTGGAAAAAATCCAACACTTGGAATTATTTGTTTAATTACTGGCTCTATACATATATGCCTTGGTATAGCATTCCTTATTGTGCATTTTGTATATGGTAAACGGTAAGTAAATGATTTGTATAACTTTTTGTTGTTGTTGTTGGAACTGTATTATTGTTAGCAACAAATAAATCACTATGTCAGCTCTCTGTTACTACTAGAATGGTTTTTAAATTATCCGGGTTCTTTTTTAATATTTTTTTTGATGACTAGTTGTTTGAATGTGTGAAAAGTACTCTAGTAACTTTTCTTTCAATTTATATCATACTAGTGACCTCTATTATTATCTATTCAGTCTCTTTCCTTTTTGTTTGGTTAATTTTGTTGTGTTCTATGATCATAGCTGTGACTATATATGAATAGAGTTGTTCGATGACTATTTCAACTTCTTGAAATATCAGGTGTTTCCGGAGTACTTGACCTCTGTTGTATTGCATGGAGGATTATTGTTGGATTGCTGCGAATTATTTGTCTAGTCTGTATATTATACATATAGATCCTGTTTCGTACAAAAAGAATCTCTTAATCGTTCGCGATTCGGAATTCTAAGCCATTTTAGAGTAAGGGAGTTATACTGGAACAAAGTAAATTGTTCTTCTATTGATATCTCAGTTTCCAATATATATATTATAGGGTTTTTGAAGATTGTTTTAATATGTAGGTAGTAATCGTCACAAATTGGCATCTTTTTAAGTGCCGTTGAAGACCACACAGCACTGAGCCTTTGTTTTGTTTGTGCGCACACAACCCTTCAAGGGATCGTACTGAAGACCTTCAGGATTTGTGGCGAGCTCTTGGTCATCAGCACCTCCAGGGCAGAATTCAGTGGTACAGTTCTAACCCCAACCTATTCGTCATATAACACTGCGACCAGTTAATGCGATTGGGAACAGTTGTTTCCTGATAAATTGGCAGGGGTTCTACTTATACCGTATAAGGATGACCCTGACTATTGATCCTAGGTAATTATAAGGTTATCACACATCCACTATTCGACATAAGTAATTTAGATCCAACATAAATTCTGATTTCATACACCAATCAGTCTAATATTATTTATTTAAGCACATAAACATTAGGTGGCCACACCCTGAGCTTTCGACCTAAAGGTCTGATCCAGAAGGCAGTGGAACAACGTCAGGAGATGCAGTCTTATGGAAACCAATCACCAATGATTGGTTCATACGCCATTTGTTCCATCAGGATCATGGAGTTCATGCGCACCAATTGTTTGGTATGAGGGTTTTCCAACTCCCCCAGATAGACTCCCCGTGTCCACGAACCTGGTTAAAGCGCCATCCTCTCAATTTCGTAAACAACAGTAATGCCGCGAGGAGGAAGTGAGTAGGACTTCCCTGGCAATAGTTGTATGCATGTGGCCATATGAGAACATTTCGAGAGGGAGAGCTGACTCTCCCTGTTATGATTTTATGTCCGGCTTTTATCACGTGATCTACCCACCATTCGAAATACGACTCATCCAAATCTTAGCACTATGCCAAACCAATGACGTTCGACCGGTACGAGCAGCCTAGCGTCTTTATTGGTCCTATATCCGCCTACCCCGTCCGCTCGAGTCCAGAACACAATACCAGCTTCTGAAATATGAATCGGATCGAATCGTTTATTTCAGACATACTCGGTTTATATATCAACCAGACAGACCACAACGTACCATAAAATAGAAAATAACATTTGTACAATATTTGGCCAAATGTGGCTGTGAGCGTGGGAGGCAGTGGTCAATAAAATGAACATAGCTTAAGAAACGTAAATCGTACAATAATAAATTATAGGTCAAAATAAAGCTTATAATAAGAGGAATATAAATGTAATTATTAAATAATTATACAATAAGAATATTTATAAAATATTAGTCCATTAATTGTCCTCGGAAGTTACCCGTAATTTAATCTTCACTCGGATATAACACTCAACTCCCGACATATAGGGGCAGTCTAATACTGCATGTCATATCAAAAAAATATCAAGTATATTTTAACTTCGACATCCTTAGTACAACTAATTCATAAAACGAAGTGCTTATTGCGTTCTCGCTGCAGGGGTTTAGTTTACGAAATTGAGAGGACTAAAAGCTAATGTTCGGTGCTTTAACCGGGTTGGTGGACACGGAGAGTCCACCTAGGGGAGTTGGAAAACAATGATTCCAAACCACCGTTGCACATTGGTCTCCATGATCTTGATGGAACAAATGGTGTATGATTTAACCGTTGGTCAGTGGCTGCTATGGTACTGCATCTCCTGACGTTGCTCCACTGCCTTATGGATTAAACCTTTACGTTGAAGGCTCCGAATGTGACCCCCTAAGAAAACCACCTGCTTCAGTTTGGGCACCCGAGCAGTATCACAGCCTACACACAATTCAAGTAACTTGTGCGGCGCATATATATTCGGTGCCCATTTGTACCAATATTTATATGTTCAAATAAATAACATACCGGAAACTCTTACTCTTAGTAACTGTTTTTTTAAGACATAGCTTTTTCTACTGTGATTACCTACATATTTCACATTGTAACATTGTTAGAACATAATTACAATAAAACTTCCTGGCATATTAATTTCTCACTTATCCTAAAAGTAAAGTAAACATGTAATTGAATGATTGGTGTACATTTATCTATACCATTAATATATCATATTCACTTTCATTACATAATATTTCAATTATATATATAACTTATCTTTTATTCTATTATACTATAAATGATATACATATTATTTATAGTCCAATATTTCCTTCATCCGTTTGTTTAATTCGATGTGCAAATTAAGTAAGTAATAATTAATGAGATTATATTCCCCTATTACATCATTCTATTGTGTGATATCAATAACAACAACAAACAGAATTATCACTTTCTATAATTGAATAAAGCTTTTTCGGGGGGGGTGAAGTAAACACTCTGGTTTCCATCTTATTTTCTTTCCTTCATCATTATCATTAAAAGTAATATGATTCATTACATTCAATCATTTCTTATTTATCCATTATGCATGTTACTTTGATTTATGATTTTAATATCTTAGACATCTTAATGTGCATCACTTGGTCATCGTATTCAGTTTTAGATCTATTAAGGCTTAAGATTGATATGTATCTTTCAATGGTTATAATATGTAGTACTTTTACTTACTTACTTACTTACTTACTTACTTACTTACTTACTTACTTACTTACTTACTTACTTACTTACTTACTTACTTACTTACTTACTTACTTACTTACTTACTTACTTACTTACTTACTTACTTACTTACTTACTTACTTACTTACTTACTTACTTACTTACTTACTTACTTACTTACTTACTTACTTACTTACTTACTTACTTACTTACTTACTTACTTACTTACTTACTTACTTACTTACTTACTTACTTACTTACTTACTTACTTACTTACTTACTTACTTACTTACTTACTTACTTACTTACTTACTTACTTACTTACTTACTTACTTACTTACTTACTTACTTACTTACTTACTTACTTACTTACTTACTTACTTACTTACTTACTTACTTACTTACTTACTTACTTACTTACTTACTTACTTACTTACTTACTTACTTACTTACTTACTTACTTACTTACTTACTTACTTACTTACTTACTTACTTACTTACTTACTTACTTACTTACTTACTTACTTACTTACTTACTTACTTACTTACTTACTTACTTACTTACTTACTTACTTACTTACTTACTTACTTACTTACTTACTTACTTACTTACTTACTTACTTACTTACTTACTTACTTACTTACTTACTTACTTACTTACTTACTTACACCTGTTACACCCAATGGAGTGTAGGCCGCCGAGCAGCATTCTTCAACCCACTCCGTCTTGGATCTTCCTTACTAGTTCTATCTAATTGTTGTTCATTTTTCGCACGTCTGTCTCGATTTCTCGGTGTATTGTGTTCTTTGGTCTTCCTCTTCTCCTTTGGCCTTGAGAATTCGAAGTGAGGGCTTGCTTTATAGTATGTATTATTCTATCCAAATTGGATATGTTTTGTCTTTTTTACTCTAAATAAATGTAATGATGAATTTAATCAATCGATTTTAGTGCATAGAGTTTCAAGCTTCAATCCATGCGCCTGGTAAATTCGTCGGTTAAACATTGTATGATGTTTTTTTGGATTCTGTTGAGGATTATATCAGAATATATACTATTCACTATTAATCAGTTGTAACATTATGTAATCATTACATATATATATGGAAACACTGCTGCGGAGTCCCACAACAGGACGAAATGGTCGTCCAGTGCTTCCAGATTTTCCATGATAGTTTACTTCCAATTGACTCATAATCTCAACTATTAAAATTACTATAATATCCACAAAGCCCTTTCTGATACTAAATTAATTATGTTAACCTCTTGATTGATCGGTTTTATCATAGAAATTAACAAGGAGTGATTTTCTTTGATTAGATATCTCAAACATCTACTTTAGTGGTATAAATTGTTGACTGATACACGAAATACTGAGAAATATGACGTGTAGGATCTCAGGTTCGAACCTTAATTTACTAAGTTTTTTTCAAGAAGTTGAGTAGTATTTTTGTGTATACTATTTATGTTGACAGATATAAGTAGTTCTCGTTCACTACATTATTATCAACTTTCATAAAAATATCGGAAGACCGAGTAAATGAGTCTATACTTGGTAATTGTTCATATTGGATCCTCTAAAAAAATCACTTATTAGTTATTTTGTGATTTTGAATTTTCATTTCTTCCCAATATTTCATTACGGTAACCATTATTCATTTTTTACTAATAATTAAAGACACTATGTGTGGCTATTTCGATATGTTGATTGCTTGCTTTTAACAACATGGTGAAATTCGTAAATGAACTGCTATAGTGTCTGCAGTCTCTACTCCACAGCAAAGTTAATTCCTCTTGTTTATTCTATGGAAACCATCTACTTATTGCTTACACATTTATTTTATGGTATGTACACTACACTACTCTACTTGTAGCTGATTTTTTTCATTCAGGCTTGAAATAAGAATGTCTAAATCTAGTCAAATAGTTCTGTAGTCCTGGGATAGTGGACGTGCCTTACCCTCCGTTGTACTAAGGATTTGGTGGCATAAACTTCAATCAGGACAAGTCATTTCTTCTGTAAATACCTTTAAATTCTATGTTGTATGTTGAATTTTTATGTTTGTAAAACAAATCATTAGGACTGCCTCTACTACGTCACTGGGACATGTTGCGTCGCAAAGTCAACTACCCCATCATTTTTTAGTGTTTATATTTATCATAATCTTGGTTTAAAATATTGATGTGTGGTAGTTAAAGTAACATATGGTTGGCTATTGAATGTGAACTGATAGACATTATCTATTTAATATATGATCTTTCCATCACTGCTTTCTACTCTGGACTCATTGGACATTGGCTGCTTCTAATTATGTTACATAATGTCTAGTCTTATTAGTCGCAGTTTCTCACAATCACAGCCACTTTTTTGTCTTGATCTTGGCACAACTGTTATTTTCTATTTTATGGTGTGATATGGTCTGATGTTGCTTGTATATAAACCAAGTATGTTTGATTTATATGATTCAATATGAATGGATGTGGACATTTACATTTTAGAGTGAATCGGCGGTTGGGTTAGACGAGCCTTCACGTATTGTTTTATGCATCATTGGTGTGATGAATAAGTCGGTGACTTTAATTGATTATCATATCGCGTGATATATTAACAGGGCACAAAGGTCACAAGTTATAACAAGACTATATTCTAGTTCAGCATTTTCGGTAGTGGATCTTGTATCTAGTATAACATGGTCCAGTTTGTTCATAGTGTACCGATCGACCATCCAATCTAGTGTTAGTAAAATCTTGTTCACCGGTCCTATTACCGTATTACAGTAGTATGTTGTAAGAACAAGAAAACGAGTTTTATTTGACCGTTTTATTAAATATTTAGTACTATTGATTCAACTACCTAAGGTCTTGATATTTTACTTGAGAATTATCTGTGTATCAGTCAATAATAATCAACCTTTAACCTAGCATAGATCCAAATTAGTCCAAGTTACCACACTGTGTTGTACTTTTAACTTATTCATCTCATCTACCGCAAAGCACTCACATCCAATAATTTTTTTATTTATTTTAACACATAGATATTGGTACAAGAAGGCACCAAATACATATGCGCCACACAAATATCATTCGATATGTGTGAGGGTTGTGATACTACCCAGGTACCCAGACCGAAGCAGGTAGTTTTCTTAGGGGGCCACACCCGGAGCCTTTGACCTGAAGGTCTGATCCACAAGGCAATGGAACATCGTCAGGAGATTCAGTCCCATGGTAGCCGGTGACCAACGATTGATTCATATGCCGTTTGTTCTCTCAGGATACTGGAGCCCATGTACACCATTGGTTTGGGATCCGGTTAAAGCGCCGGACATTCGCTTTTCGTCCTCTCAATTTCGTAAACAATACCCCCACCACGAGAAAGCAGTGAGTAGGACTTCCCTTGCAGAGGCTTTATACTCGTGGCCATGTCAGAGCATTTCGAGAGGGAGAGCGGACTCTCGTTACTCTCGGCCATACCAGGCATTTGGGGGCTGCATCTCATAATCATGAAGTAAAACTAAACCAACTGCTTAGCAGTATGTTCGTTGTTTAACTTATCGATGATCAACTCGCCTACAGCATAGATGATATAATTTGCAATAGATAAGTGAAAATTAGCATTAAAATCACTTTGTATTTCTTTCTATTATATCACCACTAATTTATTTGCATATTTCACTTCATTCATTAACAAATTCATTTTAACATTCATATCCATCATTTAAGTCAAACCAAAGAGTGATATAAAATTGTCTCAGCTTACTATTGAACATTTTATCATTATACTACATATCTAACTCTTTTCAGGCAAATAGAAGATTAAATAATCACTCTGTAACAGTTAAATAAATTCAAATTTGACTGTATTCTATACCGTCTCTCCCTCTCCTGTCAATCGGCATAACCCATTTTGATCTTCAATTTTTATTGATTATTCATTAGTTTTGTATTAATTATATCATTATGATTGTGATTTACTGCTCTCTCGTTGTCTTTGTCCCTACAATTTAAATGATTGAATAATGATTTGTTTCTTCTCATTGTATCTCTGATATGTTTTCGTTGCTTTACAGTTAACATAAATTTACACTTCCTATACAAAGGTTTGTATATTATTGTTTGCGTGTGATTTTTACTGGTGGTATGTGTTCATGTTTGTAGCGTGTTCTCTTTCTCCTTTTTTTGCTGGTGTGTATCATTTTGTTATTGTGTTTTACAACAATTAATTGGTAATTGTTTCTAGTGTATTCATGGTTTTTATTGTTTTGTATCAGAAGGGGTTTTGTGGAGATTGTAGTAATTTCAACAGTTGAGATTCATGAGTCAATTAAAGCTAGACAACCATGAAAAACCTGGGAGCACTGGACGGCCGTTTCGTCCTATTGTGGGACTCCTCAGCAGTGCGCATCCACGACCCCGCCTCACGAGATTCGAACCTTGGACCTATCAGTCACGCGCGAACGCCTAGTTACTAGACCACTGAGCGGGCATCCAGCGGTTTTAATGTCTAACTTCAACCAATCCACGAAATTGAGCGACACATCCACCATTGTCATCAGTGGGTTACTATCTCACAAACGACCCGGTTAAACTCCACTGGTCACTGCTTCTCACTAGAACTCCAGGATATACCTCTTGAAGCCAGTCATTAGTGAGCATGTGTTGATTAGTATCAGAAGGGGTTTTGTGGAGGTTGTAGTAATTTCAACAGTTGTTTATTGTTTTTTTTTCGCTCACTATGATTTTTCACGTTTTTTGTCACGAGTTTTCCTTCATAGCTTATCCTCTGTTTGCTTTGGAAAATATTATCTCTCCGTACATATCAACTCAATGCAGTTGAGTTTTGCTTGACATGATTGTTATTGTCAGTAATAAATAATTTTTCAGTTAAGAAAGAAGTGTGTATCAAAATCATGTCGTCTCAGTACAATAGGTTCGTAAAGACCATTTGTTTAAAGGTATTTTATTTCATGGATATACTTTGGTTAAACAATCAGTTAAAAAATGTGGAAAACTGGTCAACTGTTCACAAAGTCATATTATACATGTATATCCCTTAAATGATTGTGCTCAATTTCAAGGAATAGCATATCTCTGTATCTGTCGGATAATCATTTAGTCAGTCACCCGTATGTACTCATCCCGACCGTTGTTGCTACCTTGACGTGGTGGTCGGGCTTGCCTATCGTGATGAACCAACCGAGCTATACTGGCCGGAACAACCGTTCCTCAAGGTGCTACCATGTCAGACAGGTCGGTTAATGAGCGGTAAGACTAAAAGCAACAAACCCAAGGTCCGAAGCCGAAGTCGTACTGCTGACTGTACAGAGGTGTGACAGCAGTAAGGTGTTTCCTTCAGACAACCATCATGATAGCGATGCTGCCTTCCCACAAGGAGAGATGGGTTCAAAAAAGGTCGACCCTAAAAATGCAAACCTCGCCTTAACCCACGGATATCCGTCTTCGGCGGTAAGGTCTCAACAAGTACAGAGCTAACACAAAAATTACCCATAAAATGGTCGTGTGTGGCCGAACACAAGTAGTTGTCCCTTGGGCACTGCGGTCACTAAGACCAACTCTAATCAAATTTCCTTTTCAGGTATCTCCAGAAGAACCCTTCCACGATGTGGGCAACCGCGAAGTGATAACCGCCCTCATACCTCTAACAGCACTCAAGACCACTGTATTCATAATCAGTCTCCCTTTTCAATTCCTTGTAACTGACTGAGTATGTACTCATCAACATCAGTCACCTATCATTTGGCCTATAATTGATATGTTTGATTGATAGTTTATATCAAATATCCAAACTTGAAGATTCCAAATCACTGATTAAAAACGATTATTCTCACTTCAATTGTAAAATTCATAGGACCAAATTTAATCTACGTCATATTTGCACATTCTTAGTTTTCCAATCGTTGTTTTTCTAATATCAAACACTTCATGAAAATAATCTTTAAATACTTTATATTCATGATCTTAACTAGTGATATAACATTCATTATTTGTTTGTTCTTTATATTTTGATATAGAAAAGCTCGTCAAAGTCCACCAGTCTTTTCATGATCTCACTTATCATTATGACATTATATAACAATACATTCTATAGAAGGTATAAAACAAAGGGGTAAACTATATTATTCATTATTATTATTATTATTTTAAATGTTTATTGTGAATAAATGAGTCCTAATTGCTTGTTCTTTTAATCTTTAGGCTGTTGTTGTTTATTATTAAAGAAAAACAAAACAATAACACATATCATTTGTAATGTTTATTATTATTATTATTTATTATATATTTTTTAATTTTTTTTTTCGTTTTGGACAAGACAGAAGACCCCACCCCCCACCCCCTCCTATTTTCAGTTGTTTCTAACTGGAAGTTTCTCTTTATTTTTTTTCTCTTTTTTTTGTTATCTTATTTTTATCTGTAAAATTATCTAATGGATGTGTACACAATACTGTACTGTGAATAATAATAAATAATCAATGATTATAATAAAACGAGAAAAAATGAACAACACATACATACACAATTGAAATTTAATTGCTTTATTATATTGTTTGTATCTATGTTAGAATGCCATATAGCTCATACAACATATATGTAGGGTAGTAAACAAAATAACCCAACCGGGTTTGAAATTTAGGCCCCCAAATGCATTGGCATGGCCGAGAGCGGGATGGCTTCGCTATCCCTCTCGAAATACTCTCACATGGCCACGCGTATATAGCCTCTGCCAGAGAAGTCCTACTCATTGCATTCTCGTAGCGGGGTGTTGTTTACGAAAATGAGAGGACGAAAAGCGAATGTCCGGCGCTTTAACCAGTTCCCAAACCAAATCAATGGTGCACATGGGCTCCAGTATCCTGAGGGAACAAATGGCGTATGAACCAATTGTTGGTCACCGGCTACCATGGGACTGCATCTCCTTACGATGTTCCACTGCCTTGTGGATCAGACCTTTAGGTCAAAGGCTCGGGTGTGGCCCCCTAAGAAAACCACCTGTTTTTGTTTGGGCACCCGGGCAGTGTCAAAAGCCCTCACACAAATCAAATGAGATTTGTATTGTGCATATATGTTTGGTGCCTTCTTTTACCAATATCAATGTGTTAAAATAAATAAATAAAAATAAGTATTATTCAGGTTTATGAGTTCTTTTAATTGATCAGTTAATTAACTTTCATTGGTATGGTGTATAGAACATAAAGTGTAACTATCTTTGTTGATGACGTTCCAAGTGGAAGATCGTTGGTTCAGACGGTGAGACCAATCAGAGAACGGTTAGTCTAGAGTAAAAATATATTATACAAAATCAAAGAATTTAAGTGAATACACTTGTTATAAATGGTTCCAAAACTTGTTAAGGTTAGAAAGAGGTTTAGAGGTTCTAAAATCGTAATAGATACGATAGTAGAAATCATCTATATGGCTTCATAATAGTCGGTCTTTGGAGCTATCTATGATAAAGTCGCAAAAACGTATTCAGCCAAATAGCTTCAGTATTGTTTGTGTGCACTCCGGTGGTTGGGCCCAGAAGATACCACTTGTGGATAAGGGCAAAATATACATAAACAAGTCAATGTAACCATCAGTACGCTCTTTAATCATCCGTATATATTGTGGTACATGGTAGCAGCCAGTGTTACTGTTGCTTTTATTATTCAGTTCGCAACATGTCATAATTTGCCTTAGTCTCAATCTGGATCGAGCGAAAAAATCCTATTCTAGCGGACTTCTTCCTCGAACACATATTAAATCGAGAAAAAAACCTCATCACGGTAGTCTCCACAAGTTATTTGATTACCACAATCACAAATAAAGGAACTTTTTAGTAGTCCTACTTGTTTGTGGCCTACGATCCAGCTCGCTAGATTCGAACTCGTGATCTTTGGTCTCGCACTCGAATTTTTAAACTCTACAGCACTGAGCATCTATCGTGATTGTCTTTTCCATTAATAGAATTAACCTCCAACTTTATGGTGCTAAAGAAAGCCAAATATTGCTCAATAGCGTCCATTTATCATTTAGGATAGCTCTGACTAGCCCTGTATAGTAGTGATGATTTGCTTAGGAGTTTTTTAATTATAGTGACAATGAAGGAGTTGTATCAATTATTCAGTCTAAAATTATAAACTGGGTGGATTCATAATAAAGTGTTCTATCCGAATAAAGATTAAATAATGAGAAACTTCTGAAAACTATTCTTATTGTATAATTGTATTGTGCCCCCAAATGTCCTGGTACGGCCGAGAGTGGAGAGAGTCCGCTCTTCCTCTCGAAATGCTCTCACATGGCCACGCGTATATAGCCTCTGCGAGGCAAGTCCTACTCACTCCATTCTCGCGGCAATACTGTTGTTTACGAAATTGAGAAGACGAAAAGCGAATGTCCGGCGCTTTAACCGGGTTGGTGGACTTGGACAGTCCATATTTTTCTGTTATACAATTTACTATTCTGAATCTATTAGTTTCAGTTTCTCACAATCACAGCCACTTTTTTGTCTTGATCTTGGCACAACTGTTATTTTCTATTTTATGGTGTGATATGGTCTGATGTTGCTTGTATATAAACCAAGTATGTTTGATTTATATGATTCAATATGAATGGATGTGGACATTTACATTTTAGAGTGAATCGGCGGTTGGGTTAGACGAGCCTTCACGTATTGTTTTATGCATCATTGGTGTGATGAATAAGTCGGTGACTTTAATTGATGATCGTATATTAACAGGGTACAAAGGGTCACAAATTATAATAAAAAGTTACATAGAACTCATCAGAATATGCTGAATTGATCTAATTATGAATATCACTTACAAATGACTAACGATACAATCGATGAATTTTTTATAGACATAAATAATGAATAGACGATGGAGACAAATGTAGAACATACAGCTATTTATTTATTTGAACACAAATATTGGTACAAAGGGGCACTGAATACATATGCGCTACACAAGTCACTTGATTTGTGTGTGAACTGTGATACTGCCCGTGTGCCCAAGGGCATCACCCCGAACCTTCGATCCAAAGGTCTGATCAACAAGACTGTGGAACAATGTCAGGACCTGCAGTCCCATGGTAGCCGGTGACCAACAATAAGTTCATATGCCATTTGTTTTCTTAAGATCCTGGAGCCAATATGAACCGTTGTTTTGGAATGAGGCTTTTCCAAATCCATCATGTAGACTCCGTGTCCACCAACCCGGTTAAAGTACCATATTCTCAATTTCATAAATGACAGTAATGTCGCGAGAAGGCAGTGAGTAGGACTTCCCTGGCAATAGTTGTACACATGTGGCCATGTGAGAACATTTCGAGAGGGAAAGCTGATTCTCCCCAGAGGAGGCAAGAACGAGATATGCACCACACAATTCCGTTGTTTTGTGTGAGGGTTGTGATACTGCCCGGGTGCCCAAACCGAAGCAGGTGATTTTCTTAAGGTGACACACCTGAAGCCTTCGACCTAAAGGTCTAATCAACATAGCAGTGGAGCATCGTAAGGAGATGCAGTCCCATGGTAACCAGTGACCAACGGTTGGTTCATACGCCATTTGTTCCATCAGGACCATGGAGCCCATTATTGGTTTGTAATCAGGGTCTTCCAACTCCTCTAGATGGACTCTCTATATCCAATCCTCTTAATTTCGTAAACAACATCCCCGCGATGAGTAGGCAATGAGTAGAATTTCCCTGGCAGTGACTGTATACACGTGTCTATATGAGAGGGACAGTAGACTCACCTCACTCTCAGCCGTACCAGGGCATTTGGTGGCCTGCAAAATTCAATAATGATTTACATTTTATATGTATTTAAACAATGTTTAATTTGTGTTGAATAATCAACATGTCATTTTCGTCTCATTTAAAATACTTTTATTTCACTAATTGTTATTTTGTCTCCTGATGTTGTGATCTTGTGTCAATTGTTCAAATATGTAACTATCAATAAGTCGACTGATCATTATTACATAATAATTTGTCTGTTATAACGATTATATCGAACATTTTAATATCTTTTCTCGATTGAATTTTCGTTTACATTTTTTCACATGTGATTGACATAGATAATGAAGACAACTTGTATACTTTCCTAGGTAACTAACGAAGACAAAAAAGGTTAATACCTTATCCATTTCCTGAACTATAAATCTTTTCTACCGTCTTAATATTGATTAATCTTTCTTAGTAAGTTTGTCGATAAGGTTCATGACTAAGTTCATAACACTGATTAAATTAAAACAATCTACAAACTAACTATTTGATTGATAATGTCATGTGTGATACTGATGTCAACCGATATAAGTAGTATGTATCACCAATCGAAAGTGTCTGGCGACAAAAGGTTAAGAAATGAGAATGATTGATATAGTAGTAATACAATGATTTTATTTCACTTGAGATAATGTCTGATTTAAAGTGGTATTTCGTTTTCCATGTATTCCTTATGATCAACATGGGTGTTTGTGCAGATTGTAGTAATTTTAATAGTTGAATTCATTAGTCAATGTAAGTTAGACTACCATTGAAAACTAAGAAGCACTGGACGGGGTATATGTATTTAGTGTCTCCTTGTACCATGGTTTATGTGTTAAAATAGATAAATCTTTCAAAATCTAAGGGAAAACAAAGAGTGAATGTACCTGTGTCGTTAAAACCGGATAATAGGTCATGTCACCGAACATCAATCATTAAACACTGTAATCGTGCGGACCCTAACTTGATAATCTTCATCTACTAACATAAAGTAGTTTAACAATTAATGTCCTCATTAATTGGGGCTCTCAGCTTTCTCACTAACTTATCAACGTATACTGTGACAGATAAGTAGTCTTTAAATAAGAGAATTCAATATCATCTTACTTAGCTTAGTGAAATCACACTTTTCGTATATTCTCTTCAGTTTGACATTACAACTTTAGATCGATTGATCATTAGTTCGTGATCAAAGCCAGATTCATACGTAAAATGTGAGATCTGAATAAGATATTCTTCTCAAGTGAGTTCGTTAAACTAGAATGATAAGCAAAATTCTTGCTAGTTTACTATAAAAGTAC